CAGCGGATAGATTGATAGATAGATAGATAGATATATTGATAGATGATGGATTGATCAGTGGATGGATGATGGATGGATAGAAGGTGGATGGATGGACGGTTGAATAGATAGATGATGGATGGTGGATGGATCAATGGATGGGTGAGTGCATGGCTGGATGAATGAATGGTAGGTAGATAGATGGATGGATACATAAATGATAGCGAGAGAGAGAGAGAGAGAGAGAGAGAGAGATGACGGGTGGATCAGGATGGATACATAAATGATAGCGAGAGAGAGAGATATGACGGGTGGATCAGATGGAGGATGGTAGATGGATGGATGGATGGATGGATGGAGATGGATGGATGATAGATACAGGGGTGGATGGATACATAGATAGGTAGGTAGATAGATGATTGATAGATAGATCGATCGATAGATAGATAGATAGATAGATAGACGGATGCATGACGAATGGGTGGATAGATAGAAAGTGTGTTAGAGGTTGTCAGGGGCTGTGGCGGGGGGGGGACGAAATGGGGAGGGACTGTTCATGGCTCTGGGTCTCTTTTAAGAATGATGGTTAGGCCCTGGCTGCTGTGGCTCAGTGGGTAGCGTGTCACACTGAGGACTGAAAGGTCCTGAGTTCGATTCCCGGTCAAGGGCACAGACCCGGGTTAGGGACTCCATCCCCAGTCGGGGGCGTGCAGGAGGCGGCCGATCCATGATTCTCTCTCACCATGAATATGTCTCTCTCTCTCTCTCTCTCTCTCCCTTCTCCTCTGAAATCAATGTTTTTTTAAAGGTTCCTGTTCTGTCTCCTAAATCTCCATTCTTATTTATTCTTAATTTAAAAAAAAAAAATCTTGATCATTGAAATTAAATTTCTAAACGTGTATACATATGGTCCGAGGAGGAGGTGGGGGGCGGGGGGACGATCCCAGATTCAAAACCACCGGAGCCGTACCCCCTCTGAACCCGGGGCCCGCCTGGTATGTAAACGAACCCGCCATCAAACCACCGAGAGAGAGAAGAAAAAATAAAAGTGTGGCAAGATGTGGGCAGAGGCCCCCGGGGGCCGCCTCTCAGATCTGCAGGGAGCTGCAGACACAACTTGTCACCTGGCACCTTTGAGGGCTCGTCGGGAGCCGATCAGCTGCGGGCCCAGCATGTGGGGGGCCCCGGAGACACCGTTTTGGGTTTTTTTTCTGTGTTTTTTTTTTTCTTGGCTCATTTCATCATCTTTCCATCCCGCCACCTGAGCCTCCTCCAGGTCTAGGCAGCTCTCGCTGTGTCTGTGAACGTGAAATCAGCATTTTTGTGTGTGTGTGTGTGTGTCAGGGGCAATGTTTCGTTTTTATAAAAAAAAATATATTTTATTGATTATTTTACAGAGAAGCAGGGAGAGGGAGGGAGAGTGAGAAACATCGATGATGAGAGAGAGAAACATGGCTCAGCTGCCTCCTGCACGCTCCCTACTGGGGATGTGCCCGCAACCCAGGTTCGTGCCCTTTGACCGGGAATCGAACTCGGGACCCTTCGGTCCGCAGGCCGGCGCTCTATCCACTGAGCCACACCGGTCAGGGCGAGGGGCAATGTGTTATCGGCTTGATTTTGAAAGTGTTCACTGAGAATCAATTTATTTTTATTAATTGTTGAAAGTATTACAGAATGGCAGCTGGAGTGGCTCAGTGGTTAGGCGAGCGATGGACCTGGAGGTCAGGGCACGTGCCCAGGTTTTGGGCTCGATCTCCAGTAGGGGGCGTGCAGGAGGCAGCCAATCCATGATTCTCTCTCCTCATGGATGTTTCTCTCTCTCTCCCTCTCCCTTCCTCTCTCTCTGAAATCAATAGAAAAATATTTTCAAAAAAAAAATTTTTATATAATAAAAGCCTAACATGCTAAGGGTCCGGTTGGCCGGTCGGCCGGTCAACCAATCAAAGTGTAATATGCTAATGATATGCTAAGGCCGCTCAACCGCTCGCTATGACGTGCACTGACCACCAGGGGGCACATGCTCCAAATGGTAGGTTAGCTTACTGATGGGGTCCGGCTGATCGGGCCTGAGCGAGACAGAGC